ACGTGCCTGTTCAACCAGTTTCTTCTTCTGGTGATGCAGTTACACTAGCTATCGGTTTGATTGTTCTTTCTGTATTGCGTGCTGTGTGATACCGGCGCTCATTTCTTATCGGTGAGTGACTTGGCGGGGCGATTCTGTCTTTTTCTTGAGATGTTTCGTTGGAAGTGTTGGTTACTCTCTTTCACGATCCTTGATTTTCTCCAACCTGACAGATGGGTAGTTGATCCTTGAGTGTCAAAGTTCTTTGATTCTTATGTGGAACACTTCCCGCGTTTATAAGGTAGTTTATAAGCCCAGCCTACAAAATTATCGTTCTCAAAATAAGCTAATAAGACATTAAGTTTATTAGAACCTTTTTACCGCTTAATCTTGTATTTAACATTTGGCAGCTTTAATTTTTGTCCAAAACGAACCAAATATAAAGGAAGAATTTAGTTTAGTTTACTTTCTCCTGTCACTTCTCCAGATGATGTGAGATGTTACACTGAAACTTACCGTTTGCATAGCTGAAGTAATAACCTAATTTAAGGCCTTGGTCTAGATTTCATCCGTTATTACAGTGAATTAACTAATTTTATTCAGTGGTTGTTATTGTATCGATTTGTTTTATTTTTATTTTAAGCTTTTGTTATTTTTGAGGTTTGTTTATTAGTGCACCAATTTCTGTTTGTTTATTATGTATGTGATTATAGGAATTAAAATAAAAATATTAATTTATATATTATTAATAGCTTCAGTTTGTAGTAGTTACCTGAAGTGATTAACGAAATACTGTGTAGTGGACGACAGGAATTACTTCTCTTTAAGTAATTTTTTAAGGATGCTTTACGGATAAAGTTAAGATAGTTAAGAATTGTAGTTTCGCCACTTTTAGGACAGATTCGAAAATGGCGTCAACTTCTCTTTCAAGATAACTTGAAACTAGTCCGGGTTCGTTTTTGGGGTCAAACTTTCAGTTTCTTGCTTAGATTTGTACATAAACTGGCTGATTCGGTGTTATTTTTATTTTATCAGTGTAAATAAGCGAGTTTCACCTCATAAAAAGAACTCATGCGCTGTGCTTATCACACAGCTGTAGATAATATTGGGCTAATGAAAGGATCCCTTGCTGATCGCATCGAAGCCGATAAATATCGCATCTTCATAGTTTGCTGAAAAAAGAGGTGCTATAGATATGGCCAATCATGGAAGTATACGAAAGTCAAACAGCCAAGCGGTTACAATCTTTCCTATCTTGTTGCGCTTTATGGCAGCTGCTTTTGCTGTCTTATCTTTCACATTACTTATGTTTTAATTTTGCTATTTATCTTTCATACATCAGAAACAGTTTTTTGCAAGAGTTAGTTACTCTCTTCACTCATTTTTGATTTTCAAACCAGAAGAGCAAGGACCATTGCTTATAAATAACCTGTCTTTGGGAAGCTTAGTGTGTAAATATATTTGTTTGCTAATTGTATCCTTTTACTTTATGTTCTATATGCAGTTTGGAGTTGTGACGACAAAATTTTTGTGCT